GCTCCTGCTTCACGTGGGGAGCGGGGGGGGGGGGTGCGGTACACTGCCGGGGCCTCCACAGGTGTGACCCCAATGGCGGCAGCAGCCTGCACGTGGAGAGGGTTTCTCATCCCCATCGTAGGAATGGACGCTGCTGCCTGCCCAGCGTCTCCTGGACCACACACGGCCTCCTCTCTCTGTGAGGGCCCGCCTGTCCCTGCCGCCCCTTCCCAGCCAAGCATCCCTGCTGCGCCGTCTAACTCTCTGCAGTCTGGTCAGCCTTTGCTCTCCTCGGGGTCACTGCAGCGATCGCACCCTCACCTCCTCGCCCTGCTCAGATCCCCGTGATGTGACCTCCTTGGCCTTGCCTGCATCCTGATCCTGCCTGTCACTGTCACCTTCGGGCCCTACTCGAGAGCTCTGGCCCCGGCTCAGCCCATGGTGGCTCCAAGATGAACTGGACCCACACAGGGGGTCCTGGTAGGTCAGAGGAAGGAGTTGGGGGCGTGGGGGGATGCCAACAGCCAGAGGAACCCGGAGGAGGCAGGTTCCGAGTATGGCAGGGAGAGGCGGAGTGCCAGGTGCAGAGGGAGGACAGAGGTTATGGTCTTGCAGCCGCGTTTGAGGCAGGGAGCTGGGGAGCACACAGCCCGGCTGTGTGCAGGGCTGCGACCAGGCCAGGTCTTCCGGCATCAGCCTCCCTCCACGTTCGTGTCTTGCCAAATGCGTGTACCACCTGCTCCCTGCCTCCCGGGTCTTTTCCGCAGACTCACTCATTCTAATTGAATCCGTGGAGCCCGCTGTCCGGCCTTGCTCCGGCGGTGCTGTGGGGTTGCTGGCAGAGGTTCTTCTTGCTGACCCTTTGCGTGTGCACGTGAGTATTCCAGTGGGATACATCAGGCCCTGCCACCTACAGCCCTGGGGGTGGGCCGCCCTGTGGGGTTCCTGCTGGGGGGCAGTGGTGTTCCCCGGTTGGGACCAAGGTTGGGGGGCGGTCAAAGGCAGGCTTCTGGCTGGGCCGGAGCCGAGAGGTGGGGCACAGGACTGTGGGATGGGCGTGGGGACTCCCTCACCCGCATAATCACACAGGACTGGTCAGTTGGCACACTCCACCAGAGGCTCGCGGTTCTCGGCCGCGGCACATGTGGCAGTGCAGGGCCCGGCCTGGGAGGGAGGAAGCACAGGCTTGTGCTCTGTCTGGGCCGGGGGCTCAGGCAGCCATCCTAGTGGGTGGCCTGGGGGCCTGGGCCTGGGCCTGGGCTAGGCTGAGCGCCTGGCTGCCTGTGCATGGCCGCCTCCCGGCCAGCCCTCTCTGAGCCTCCTCTTCCTCCCTCCCTCTCTCCAGAGGTGCTCCTCGTCCCCTAGGATGGGCCAACGGGCAGGGACTTGGTGGTGGTGACTCTGAGGTGCCCCCAGGCCACCTCTCTGGCCCTGTGTGTGTGAACGCTGCCGCCGGTCAGCAGGAGTGAGGGTGTGGGTCAGAGCGTGGGTGTCTGCAGGCCGTCCCCCGGGATTGAGGAGGGCGTGGGGCAGCACGATGCAATACCAAGAGGGTCGACTTTGGAGGTGATCTGGGTCCTGCTTCTCACTGTCCCTGTCCCTCTCCGAGCCGCAGTGTCCTCACCTGTCAGGTGGGGCTCATCGCGGCCGGCCCGGGCTGTGCAGCCTTGCTGGAGGGTGAAATGGCACAAGGTGCTTGGCCCCTGCCCCGCCCTCCTTTGCTGGGGGCCCCCACCTGGGACTGCTGCCTGGACCAGAGGGCAACTGCAGCTCTGAGGATCCTGCACACAGTAGGTGCTGAGGGCTGCTTAGTTAACAGGAAGGAACGGCCCTGCTCCTCACGGCCTGGGGCCTGTCGGTGACCCCTCCTCCATGCCGATTGACGGGGAATCTACAGCAAAAGGCCCTGGTCCAGGCCAGCCCCTGCGTGCTGTGTGACTGGCTTCAGGACCCAACGACAGGCTGAAGGACCTGACAAGGACCTTCAAGGACAAGGCTCCTGGCCTGGAGACCCCGCAAGCCATCCAGGGGTGGCAGACCAAGGTACAGTGTGTAACCCCGAGTGGGATGGAGCGGAGGGTCAATGGACACCTGGCAGAGGGGAATGCAGTCTTGATAGAGGGCGGGGACCATCTGGGGAGGCTTTCTGGAGTGGGTGGCCCTGGAGCCGAGCCTGGACAGATGTATGGATTTCTACTCATCCTGGGGAAAGGACCCTCAGGCAGAAGGTGCAGTATGGCAGAGGCCAGGCCAGCTGGGACCAGGAGCTGTGACAGGGCAGGTGGGAAAGCCAGGAGCACCTTGCCCGAGGTGTGGGGGCCTGTGCTGCATGAGGGGGCTGGAGGAGGGGGGCTGGGGGGATGCCCTGCAAGGCGGTGCCTTGTAGCGGGTGCCCCGGGAGGGGGCGTCTTGGGAGGGGTGCCTTTGGAGGGGAGCCCCGTTGGATGTCCTGAGAGGGGTGCTCTGGGCAAGGCGTGGCCACTCTGACCTCAGAGCCGGGCCTGTGGAATGGGGTGACCGCACCTTCCACACATGGGTCAACTGATGTCAAAGCCCTTTACCCTGTGAGGAGAGTGGGAGGCGCTTGTGGCTGAATCATGGGCAAGCAGGCAGACAGCCTCAGACCTCAAAGCCCCCCACCCCTCGGCTCAGAGACCATGCTTCCCAGTTCAGGGTTCTGGAAGCCCCCAAGAACAATAGACCTCTCTGTCGGGGGGTAACTGCTGGCCATTCCTCGTCCCCCTGTCTGCAACGAAGTCCCGGGTGCTGGTGGGAGCAGGGAGACACTCTAGGTGCCTCAGTTGCCCGCACTGGGGTCCGGATAGTCCCTATGTCCTTGTGCTGTGCTGAGTATTCATGGGTTGGTACTCCTTAGGTCCCTGGAGCCGTGGCCTGCTTCCAGCAGGTGCTTTCCCAGCATCAGCCCCCCAGGAAACCTAAGCCCCAGGACAGAGACATCCCAGGCCCCGGCCCCTCCTCTCCCACAGCTGGGCCCCAACACAGGGTTGGGGGAGGGGTCTGAGTGGGGCCTCCTTAGCGCCTGCTCCCTCCTGCTGCTCCTCGCCTCTGCGCTGAGCTCTCTTCTGATAAGCCCCATTCCCGGAGCCAGCCTCACACCCTTGCCCAAATGTCCCCTCCATCTGTCCTTCCAGCCTCCCCGAGCTGGGACTGATCCCCAAGGTGCCTCCTTCCAGCTAAGGGCCCCACCGCCCCCATGGGGCTTCCCCAGGCAGCTGGAGGCTCTACTCCACCCCACCCCGTGCTCAGGGGAAGCTGATGGCGCTAATTATCTCTGATGGTAATTATTCAGCAGATAATCACAGGCTATACCACCCCCTCCCCAGGCCCTGTTTCCAGTGGCGCCCGAAGCAGCAGCAGGCGCTCTTGTTCAAGGTCGCACAGCCAGGTCATCAGGTAGGGGCAGAGCTGGGATTAGAAAGGGGTAACCAACTCATTTTCCTGGTTTTAGCACCGAGAGTCCTGCCTCCCAAGAATCCCCTTTATCCCAGGAAAATAGGACGATTGGTCACCCTGGCTGGAGCCCAGGTCCCCCTGCCTGGCCCAGAGCTCAGCAGTCCCGGGCCTCTCATCCAGGTCTTCTACCCCCACAAGAGCCAGATATACCAGAAACTGTGCCCAAAGGGACACACAGGTCTCCGTGTCTGGCTGGTCAGGGAGCAGCCACAAGGGCCTCCCCCTCACTCCCTTCAGCCCCCAATCCAGGCTGATGCCGCAGACCCCTCAGACCGAAGCCAGTCCTATCTGGCACATGTCTCTCCCCGTCCCTTACCCAGGTCAGTGCACAGAGCAGCCAGAAGCAGAAACACCAGGAGGGGCCTCATCAGGGGACATCCGCCAGCTGGGACTGGGGACAGCCGGTGCCAGGTGCCTTTATATGGCTGGCTGCCCAGCCGCGGTCAGACCTAGTGATTTAGCTGGAGAGGAGCTTGGGACAGCAGGGCCAGCCTGACTCATACTGCCTAGGCTTCCCTTTGCCCCACCCCCAGGGGCCCTGGGGGCTCTCAGATGGTCGCTTGTCCCCCCTCTCTGCCTGTCCCTCTGTCCTGAGCCATTGGCCTCCCTGTCCCTGCAGTTATCACGAGGCCCCAGGTTGGGCTGGGGAGAAGGAAGGAGGCAGGGCCATGGTGGTCTATGGGTGACAACCCACTCTGGGGGCCTGGGGGACACGGCCCTGCCCTGGGGTCAGGGGTCATGGCCGTGCCTGGGGTCTGGAGGTTACAGCCCTGCCCTGGGGTCTGGAGGTCATGACCCTACCCTGGGGTCTGGGAGACACTCCCTGCTCTGGGGTCTGGGGTTACAGCCCTGCCCTGGGGTCTAGGGGTCACGGCCCTGCCCTGGGGTCTGGGAGACACTCCCTGCCCTGGGGTCTGGGGTTACAGCCCTGCCCTGGGGTCTAGGGGTCAGGGCCCTGCCCTGGGGTCTGGGGTCACGACCCTGCCAAGAGCACCTTTGAGGAGGCACTGCCACCTCTCCGGTGCCTCTTCCCTGGGCCAGGGCAGGTAGGGAGGCACCAAGCACTCCAGGCTGAAGCTGGCTTTTTTTTTTTTTTTTTGTGAGGAAGGTCAGCCCTGAGCTAACATCCATGCTAATCCTCCTCTTTTTTTGCCGAGGAAGACCGGCTCTGAGCTAACGTCTATTGCCAATCCTCCTCCTTTTTTTTTTTCCCCAAAGCCCCAGTGGCTAGTTGTATGTCATAGTTGCACATCCTTCTAGTTGCTGTATGTGGGACACGGCCTCAGCATGGCCGGAGAAGTGGTGCATCGGTGCGCGGCCGGGATCCGAACCCCGGGCCGCCAGTAGTGGAGCACGCGCACTTAACCGCTAAGCCACGGGGCCGGCCCTGAAGCTGGCTTTGGACCAGGATGTCTCAGTCTTCACTGTGCACACAGGTCACCCCGGGCTCTGGTAAAATGCCGATTCTGACTCGGAGGCCTGGGTGGGACCTGAGACTCTGCCTTCCTGGCAAGCTCCTAGAGGTGCTGGTGCTGCTGATGTGTGAGGCCAACACAGCAGGGAGGGGCCGAGCTGGAGGTGCACCCTGGGCATCCCAGTCGGCGCTGAATCACTGCCCATCCGTCTCCAGGCCAGGCTTGGGGATCCGGGGGTGACAAGTGTACCCTGGGGGGATGTAGGAAGTGGCCTGCTCACAGTGGGCCACTCCTTGTTCCTGTTTCGGGGTTTGGCTGGGGTTCCAGAGGCTGAAGGGTGGAAGCACGCACCTCCTGGTGTCTCTCCTCCATCCCCTCCCAGGGCCACCAGCCCCTCTTCTGGCGGCTGCGGTCCCCTCCCCGGTGACCACAGCCGTGCCAACCCTGACCATGCAGTCTGCTGAGAGCCCACAGGCACCCACTATCTGCATAACTCTGCCTCCCCTGGCCTCCCCTGTCTCCTCCAGCTTCCCCTCAGCCTCAGGGTAGACACTCACACACCTCTGGGCGCTCGCCCGGGACGCTCTTCCCTCCATCTCCCTGGAGGAATCATCTTTGTCTAGAACACTCTTAGATTCCCTGCCCCGGCCTGTGCCCGAGAGGTGCCCACCTGGAGCCTGTGCCTGTTCCCAGGTCCCTTGTGGGCTTCTTCTCTGTCCACTCACAGAGGATGGGCTGAGCTGCTGGGTGCTCATCCCACTGCCCAAGGGTGGCAAAGGCTTGTTGTTGGTGGGAGGTGGGATTGGAGCTGGTGCACAGGCTGGGGGCCACCTGCATGCGTGTGGGGCCCCTGCAGTGCAAGGTGGGTCAGGTCTCCGGCTAGGGACAGGCTCTCTCTGTAGCCGCCTTCTAGCACAAGCGCCAAGGGGCCTGGAATCTAAATTCACACTAGACTTTCCTGTTTTGGTGGTATATTTGTCCATGGTATTTTATTTTAGTGGTTTTTTAGCTTCTTTTAGAAGTTTCATATTTTTGGCCATAAGGAGTGTGGGCCCCCATTTGCCCCAGCCCCCAAAAGATAAGGGTGGGCCCACCCTTATCAGGAACCCACTTACAGGGCACAATGAAGGGCAGCAAGAAACCAGAGTTCTCATCACTTCCCTTGAAATCTGTGCACGTCTGGATGCTGAGATGGGTTGGACGCTGGCTGAGCAAACCCGGGTGTCCACTCCACGCTCTCTACTCCATTCAACTCCATCCACACCATCCATTCCATCCACTCTCCTCTACCCACTCCACTCCACTCTATCCACTCCACCCCACTCCATCCATCCCATCTGCTCTGCTCCAACCACTCCACCCCACTCCATCCATCCCACTCCATCCACACCATCCACTCCACATCATAGACTCCATTCGCTCTACTGCATTCACTCCATCCACTCCTCACTCCATCCACTCTATCTGCTTCGTCCACTGCACTCTATCCACTCCAGTCACTCCACTCCATCTACTCCATTCAGCCCAAGCACTCCATCCACTCCACCCCACTCCATCCCATCCACTTCATGCACCCTACTCCATGCAACTCCTCCCACACCATCCACTCCCCTCCATCCACCCCATGCCTCCACTCCATCTCCACCTCTCCCACTCCATCTCCCCTCGAGCTTGGTGACCTCCTGTGGCCGTGGGCCATGATAATGAGCTGGGCCTCGCCCGACAGCCCTTGGCTTCCCTGGCCCGAAGCCCAGCCCTGCCGGGAGCTGTCCTGGGACAGATACTGGCCTCTGAGGCCTGGGTGCTTTCTCAGACTTCACCTCTGCCTTTGGCCCAGGCCTGAGAAAGTTGCTCGCTCTGCTGAGCAGGGCATGTGGTTGGGAAGGGCGTGATAGAGCCCAGACTGCTACCATGAGCCTGGTGCCGTGTTTGGAGCACCGGGCAGTGGGCTGGCCCTAGACCCAGCTCAGAGGCCAGCAGGGAGAGGCCGTATGGGTGCCTTGGGCTGGAAGCATTCTCCGGCTTTCCTGGCAGGGCCCTGCCTGGGTTCCGGGGAAGCGGAGCCCCTCCCTGCACGTGCAAGCTGCTACTATGCTCTCGGGTGGCTCTGACTATGACCAGCCCCTCCTCTCCCTGAACCCAGACCTGCTTCTCACCCTTCTCCCACCCCCAGCACTCAAGTAACCTTGCCCAGGCCTCTGTGCACATGTGAGTGTGCAGCAAAGATGCTCAGGAAGGGAAGGGCCAGGGGCTCGGGCTCCCCCTGCCCCAGGTAATGGATAATTATTTTGCTCAGGTGTCACTGATCCCTGCTCAGTGCAGGCTTGGGCCCTTGGTGTTGGGGCGCAGGGATGAGAGCCTGAGTGTGGGGGGTGTGGGGGCCCACATTAACAGAGATCAGTTGGGTCACACCCATGGGGGCCCTGTGCACAGCCTGATTCTACCAGTGCCGGCGGCCGCTGCCTGGAGAAGGGACCAGGTGAACACATTTTGAAGTAGGGGCGAGTAGTGGGGAGACTTGAAGGCAGAGGAGGAGCCCCTGCAGAGGAGTAGGCTGGGTCGGGGTGATGGATTCCCAGAACTCTCCCACAGGCAGAGTCAGCTGGATTTTACCCAGTGGGTACAGCATTTCTCCCATTGGGGTCTCTATTCTTGGGGATCTGTGAGAGCTTTTCTTCCTCTGCTAGGGCAATCCGAGAAATGCTGAACTTCATGAACCTCTTCAGGGGCAAAGATTCTACAGCCCCGTGGGGTAGTGCCCTGGCTGGGGCCTACCTATTTGCGGAGCCATCCCTCTCATGGGGGGAGCAGGAGGGGTGGGGGCTGCCCTGCGCTGGGGTGGGGATGGGCAGAGGAGTGCGGCTGGTGGGTTGCCAGCCTCCGGGGGGGGGGCTGGAGGAGGGGAGCAGCTGCCCCTCATTAGGCTAATCAGGCACCTGAAACTCACTCTTTTACAAGTTGGGTGTTCCCCAATTAAGGCCCAGACTCCCACGCCAGGTCACAATTAACAAGTGGCCTCCCCAGCCTGGCATGGACTCCACTCCCCAGGGTGGCTGAGAGTGAGACACAGGGCCCCCTGTCCCACGGGTGTGCAGGGCAGGTGAGGGAACTGGGGCAGCGGGGAGGCCTGGATTGGACACCCAGCATGTCCTCCCTGCCAGCCCAGAGGAGCTCGCTCCCACCCTCTAGGAAGGGACCGTGACCCCAGTTAGGAACCCCAAGACCTCCACGTGAACCAGAGGCCATGTCCTGCTCCTGACTCCCCCTCCCTCCTGGGCTTCCCCTCCCTCAGTCCCTCCTTTCCTCCCTGCTTCTTACCCTTCCTCCCTCCTGTGCTGGGGAGGGAGGCGGGGGACCCAGAATTTGAACTGGGGCCCCTTGCTGTCCGGCAGGGGCTAAAAGGGGTGCTCCTGTGCCTACATACACCAAGGAGGACTCCTGTGCCCTGACCCTGGTCGCAGGCTGTGTGGTGACCCTGGCCACACACTGAGCCCTGACCCTGGTCGCACACTGAGTCCTGATCCTGGTCACACTCTGAGCCCTGACCCTTGTCACACACTGAGCCCTGATCCTGGTCACACTCTGAGCCCTGATCCTGGTCACACTCTGAGCCCTGATCC